TCCCTCTCTTTGATTCACATTCTATCATCATCTTTCTGCATCTCCTCTCTCCCTTGGAAATTCACCCAGTGTGTGTTCCTGGCCTGTTTCCTCCACAGTCTACCCCTGAGGTTTTGGGTCAACATCCTGAAGAACCCCCAGTTTGTCTTTGACATCGACAAGACCGACCACATCGACGCCTGTCTCTCTGTGATCGCCCAGGCCTTCATTGACGCCTGCTCACTGTCCGACCTGCAGCTGGGCAAGGTATGGTCCGAGGGGACGTCGCACCGCGGCTCCAACCAGCGAGACACAAAGCAGTTGTGTAGGTGGGAAGGGGCTGCCAGAGGTGTCCTTGCCCCCAGCAGCAGGCTGTGAGCCACGTGCCCGGTTTCATGCCGCTGGGGTCTGACTGTATCCTCCCTCCTGCTCGCTGCTTTCCCTCTACCTTGGCTGAGTGTGGTGCTGACATCTGAAACTTCCCAACACCATCAGCTTTATAGCAAATGCTGAAAATCGCCCCTCTCCCAGGGCTGTGTGACGTAGGGGCCCCTCGGTGAGGGAGGGGCACTGCTCAGGACATCCCCAGGAAGCTCCTCCTGGGAGAGATTAGCTCCGGAGGAAGATGTAATGAGCGCTGGATTTTTGTTTGTTTGGGTTTGGGACTTTTTTTGCAAGTGTTACGAAACACCTCCAATCTGTCCTTGTCGAGCTGCCGGTGAGGGGAAGAGGGGTCAGCAGGAGTCAGACAGCAGATGGAAACATTTTGCAGGAATACAATGGTGTAAGTGAAGGAACTGTTGAGTAATGAGGGGAGAATAAATCCTCAGCACAAAAGTCAGCCTACATCCACATGCTGTAGACTAGGAGTTGTCCAGGCTCTTCCTCTGGATACAGGGTGTCAGCAGTGCTGCTTCTGACACTGCAAACGTGAGAGCACCTACAGTATGCAAGCAGTTAATAAAACATTCACCTCTTCCTAATACAGGGAGGACAAACCAGACACTAATTTGAAAAACAACAGAAAGGAGGCAGCATGGGTTTCTGTTGCGTTTCCAAGGGAAAAAAAAAAAAAAGTTGTAAGCAGGCTCTGTAACTTGGCTCTATTCCTACAATGCCTTGTCATTGGGTTTGAAAGTAAACTGCTTTGGGGCCCGGTGCCCATTTCCCTTGCAGCCTTCCCACATATTGCACAGCAGCTTGCAGTTACCCCTGGCTTCCTTATTTACTGCTTGTACAGCAGGAGATCCCATCTCCACAGCTAGAACCCTGCTGGGCTTGTTTAGTCTGCAGAGCCTTCCTCCCCCCCTCCACCTGCCAGCACCAGGGAGCGTGTCAGGGCAAGGGGACACACTGATCTCACTCCCCTCCTGTCCCAGCACCTGGGGCTCTTTTCCCTCTGGGTTACAGCTCTGGTGTCAGCCAGGTTCATTCCCGGGGTAATGATGTCAGCGGGACAGCATTGCCTCGAGGTTAAAATCATTCATGCTTGTGTTAGCAAAGAGTGCAAGTGGGGTTATGCCTGTGCTGGTACCACCCGCTCGTGGCCAGGAGGTTAAGACTGCTTTGTCCGAGCTGACATTAATCAAGAAAACTCACAGTATTTTCTGTTAATTACTTTCCATGCACTCAATATAGGTCAGACAGGCTGAGTTAGCCAACGCAGAATAAATCAAAGCTACATTAAAAATCCAAGAGCAACATTTCAACTGACAAAGTTCAGCTTTGTTCTTTGGTTTAAATCAAACTGGCTGCTCAAGAGACCGGAGTGACGTGTTCAGAAGCCCATCCTTCATTACCACTTTCCACACACGGTGCCATGGAACAGAAGTGGATTATCTAACACAGTGGTGGTACATGCATTTGCAGGGCATCACCTGCAGCAAACCACCGCCCTGCCCCCTGATGAGCTCCGCATGCACCACTCATGCGGTTTGTGCCTCGGTGCCATCCCACCACGCTCCTGTCTGCTTAAAGCCAGGCCCACAGCTGGTTCCTGAGCCCAGCTGTATCTGAAGGCCCCGTCTGATGGCCAGTGCTTCAGCCAGGCAGAATAAGAGGGTTTTCAGTCAGAAACGATACAGCATCTGATCTCAGTATCTTGCCCTCACTCTAGGACTCCCCAACCAATAAACTGCTGTATGCCAAGGAGATCCCGGAGTACAGGAAGATTGTGCAGAGATACTACAAGCAGATCCATGACATGCCACCGCTCAGCGAACAGGAGATGAACGCACACCTGGCAGAGGAATCACGGGTGAGGCACTGGGCAGTGCTGGGACCAGGGTTGTGCTGGGCTGTGGAGCTGTGCTGCTGGGCAGCAGGGTGAGCGGGCTGAATTCAGCTCCTGCTTGAATAGGCATTGGAGGGAGCAAACGAGAAGGGATATTTTGCCTCAAACTTCCAGACACAAAATTCATCTGACCTAATTCCAAGCATCTTTAATGACTGCCAGAGCTGCAGTAAACATACATGAATTCGCTTGAAACTAACGAGGCTCTGGCACCACTGGGAGTTTTAAACAGAATAAAGTGCCAAATAGCCAGAAATTTGGAAGAGGCTCTGCTGGCCCCCAGGTCCTCGGCCAGCTGGCCCCTGTGCCACCAGCTTTCAGTGCTGGCCCTGAGTTCCAGGCAGCCTGCTGGCAGCTGGCAGCGCTCCCTGCCAGCCTGGTACCAGCTCAGGAGCTGGCAGCTGCACCCCGGATCCCAGCCCTGCCAGCAGTGCACTGCAGCTCCCTCAGAACACAGTCATCTCCCCGCAGCAGTTCAGCCTCAGCTGTGGAGTGTGCTTTTCCCTGGGTGTTCCTCTGCCCAGTGCTGCCCCATCCTTCGCAGTGCCTTTGAGCTGATCAGGGCTATCAGCTGCAGTCACTTAAGGCTGACTTTATAAAGACTCAGACCATTTCTCATGTAAGCAAATGCAGCTTCCTTAAACAAATAAGGCAAAGCCCAGCTACATCAATTCAACAGGAATAAAAATAGCCAGTCTAAATCTTCTTTTAATCTTGCTAACGCCTGCAGATTGGACTTGAACTAGCTTGCTGTGTCAGGTTAACGTATCTCCCCTATTTGTTCTGTCTTTTTAAAGAAATACCGGAATGAGTTCAACACAAACGTCGCCATGGCTGAGATATACAAATATGCCAAGAGATATCGCTCCCAGGTAGGCGAGTTTGGCTGTGCTCAGGCCTTAGACTATCTGCAGAGGGAATAACAGGAGGTGTTTTGTAACCAAGCAGTTAGATGCCTCGCAGAAAAGGGATTATTTTTTCTTTGTGTAATCTGCCCATACACATATGTAATGCATGCACACAGGTGCATTTGCTCTCCCATCCCTTGCTTGATAACTTTGTAGAAGCAAAGGCCAGCTCTTCCCAGTTGCTTTTAGCAGTGCTTGGCTGGGCAAGTTTGGAGCAGGGTTGGCCATTGTGTGGACTGTTCGAATCCTCCTACACTCACAGGAAGCAGAGCACAAGGATGCCTTCCCCAATAACTTACCCTCACTGCTGCCCTCAACGCAGCCCTGGCTGTGACCCAGAACCCAGCTCACTGTGCCCTGCCTCACAGGGACAGCTCTGTGCTAGGAGGTTCCCTGCAGGGTTTTCTGTTGCATTTTCTCCCTCTGCCTCAACTGAGAGCAGGGACTCAGCCATTCCCTGCTGCACCTGGAGGGTCCAGGGCTGTGTCCCAATACTAGGCTCTCCACCCTGGCTCCAGCTGAGATTGTGGCATTATGAGGCAGGTGGGGCTGGCAGACAGGGCTCCATGCTGCCTGTCCCTTATGTGCCCACCTCTCCTGCAGATTGTGGCTGCCCTGGACTCCAACCCCACGACAAAGCGCACCCAGCTCCAGCACAAGTTTGAGCAAGTGATTGCACTCATGGAGGACAACATCTACGAGTGCTGCAGCGAAGCCTAGGCTGACTGCAGCCTGGGAAGTGACCCCTAGAGTAACTGTTGTAGGGATCTTGCCTCGACCATGGGGACACCTTGGTCCATGTCCATGAGGGTCGTTCTCAAACCAGCCTTGTGGCAATGGCGGGCCTTACCTGCAGCCAGAGAGCTCCCTCATGTATCAAGAAGCAACAAGACAGCCTTTGTGCAGCTAGAAAACCATCTGGTCAACACTGTAGCACCCATAACTTACTGCTGTTGCAAGCCAGAAATGGAGGTGTGACACCTGTGGCAAGCTCAATTCATCACTTCTCAGTAATTTGTTCCTGAGCAGCTGGCTTCCCACATCCCTGTCTGCATTCCTCGTGGACAAGACCAGGCTGCAGAAGCCATAACAAAAGAGCAGCCTCAGGGAGTAACAAGCAGAGATGGCATAGGCCATCAGAGCAATGGCAGTGCACTCTCCATTCCACACCAGCCCTCTGACATCTGCATTTCTCTGACACCGTGGACAATCAGCTGTTCACTATCTGCTGCATTCTGTGTATTTTTGTGCCTTTTAATTTTTGTATTGTATGTGCAAACATAACCACTCCTTCATTTGAGATTTGGGCAACCCGGGGAACTGGGGGTGAGTTAAGCAGTTGCTTCCTATGTAGCAGGGGAATGCTGAAAGCACTTTATCCCCTAACAGCTGCTAGCTGGCTGGAGGGAGTGCATTGCATGTTGGTGTGGGAAAGACTGTACTGCCCTCCCCCAGTTCTCCAACCTGCATGCAGTGAACTGCAGTGTGCAGTAGGATAGGCAGATGTCCCCTTACGACCAACCCCCAGCCAGATAGGCACAGGCATCGCTTCCACCTGCAAGCAGTGAGCTGCTCATCACTCCTCTCGCCCCACCCTACTGGCTGCATACACAGCTATGGTGCTGACTTGAGCTCATCTCACCAGAACAGTCCTCTCACAGAGCAGACTGAGCTACATGCAGGGCAGAACATCCAGGCATCATCCTTCCCCCTCTGTCCCACACTCTGGTATCTCACCATGATCATCATCTAAAGCAGGCCAGTGCTGCAGAGGGCTGTTCCTAAAGCAGATTGCTTTGCTTGCCTTAAAGCCAGTACACCATAGTTACCACCCAAGAGCAACAAAAATGGTTTTGTGACACATTGTTTGTCAGTCCATAAAGGCAAGCAACCCATCCTTGTCCCCATGACAGCAAGATGCTCGCACTCACACAAGTCAGCAGAACAGGTCAGACATCACAAGCTGCAAACAGAGGTAGGAAACGTCACACTCCACATAGCGCTGTCAGCAAGCAGAGTCCCACTGCAGAGACAAACAGGACTTGTCTGAGACCCAGGAACTCCACTGCTGTCCTGCAGCATCTGCTGGGGCCCATCCCAGCCTGGCATTTATTTTCTCTCTGCTGGCAGCTCCTGTTCCACAGCCAGGGCAGCCATGACTGCTCTGGCCTTCTCTAGCACCACCACTCAGGCCCCTTTTCAGAGGCTGGACCACGTGTCTGAAGCCAGCATTCCCCTGCAAGCAAAGGCAACCTGCCCACGAAAGCTAAACCTAGCTGCAGCTGTAGGCACCGCATTTCCAAACTGCCAAATATATATTAAAAAGTGACTACCTCACTCCAGGCAGGGTCTCAAGGTGAGCCTCTATTACTCATCCAGCTGGAAAGGATGAAACCTGGTCCACCAAACTCCTCCTGGGTGACTTACTGCCATGGGCAGGTGGTCGCACCCCATTGTTTCCAGTAACACCACATTTGTCAGAAATGAGAACATCAGAGTTGTGTATGTGTATATAGATATCTATTTTAAAACAAATGATAGACTTTATCCAGTATGTTAAAAGGGGGTAGGGAGGGGAGGGAAAGAAAAGAGGATTTGTTTGGGGTTTTGTTGTTTTGGCTTTTTTTCTTTTAAAGAGAACTACAGAAAAAGTACATACACTGTAGAACTTTCAATGTCTTTGCTGAGGATGTGGTTTCAGAATAGAAACTAATGTAGCTGGGCTACATTTTATTTTGAAAGTGATTTCACACAAAAAATAATCTTGACTTTTTTTTCTTTAGAAACTGTGAATAGTTGCCATAGATATAGACAGGCCCAGCACAGGGAAGGTGACAGTGAGAAGGACCAGGGTAGCAGAGAATGTTGAACTTGGCTGGAGGTGAGGAAATGGCTATGGAGCAACAGCCCCATATCATTACATGAGAAGGGCAGAGGTGAGCCAGTAGTGAGCATGGTTTGACTCCAGGTGATGTGACTGGGCCACATATTGGGGTCTATTGCTGTCTTATTTAATTTTTTTCCAAAGCAGAAAAAAAAGCTACAACCATTCTAAAGAGGTAACTTTAAAAGAGCAAACGCTTGAGGGTTTGTAGTGTTGCCTTGAACCCCTGAGCCCTTTGTAACATGTTTTTAAACTTTGGCATGTGTTGTGGGTATAGTGCCCTTACCTCCTGTGTAGTGGAAGTGGCAGACTCTTGGAGAAACCTATCTTTGTAATAAAACAAGGTGCTGAAACCCTGCGTGGTGAACTTCCTGCTCATGGTACACACAGAGCCTAAAACCAAGGCATCCCTTGCCTGAGGCATCTTCTCTCACACAGGCCATGCAAATCCCTCTGCTCCTCCACCTCAGGAACACGGGGAGGCAGGCAGCTGCCAGCTCCACCGCACAGCACCGCAGTGCTCAGAGCTGGCAGCTCAGCAAGAACCATCTTCTTTCCCAATGGCACAGGTCTTATCCTCTTTAGGCTGCAGCAATTCACCATTCCTGCCTAGCATGCCCACCAGAACAGGATCTGACACAGAAGAAGAAAAGCCACGTGAGGACCTGAACAAACCACAGCAACACACACCAGGACCAGCATCACATGCCACCCCACAGGGCTGGACACCCTTGCACTGCCAGGAGTAATCTTGGGGCCAACCAACTTGGGGTGCCTGCTCTGCACTGCCACAACACTCAAGCTTCTGGCCTCAGCAGTGATACCATCCCCAGCCTGCAGGGCTTGATAACAGCATTGCTGAAATCCTCCCACTTCCACCATCTTTCAGTAAAAACTGCTCTTCCTGGACACCACAGGGATTTTTCTGTGTTAAAGCTGATTCTTAGTTAAGCTAAATCCAGTCACTTAATAATACAGCCTCTCGTGGAACCTTATGTTTTATATTTAGTGCCTGGTGAGTGAGGACACAGCTCCTGTCCTGTTCCACTGCAGGACATTTAGTGTTGGCAAGCAGTCATTTGTGACCGACTACTACTGAAGGTACAGCTGAGTTCTGCTGGGTTACTGCTGCAGTATCCCTCGCCCTGACCCTGGGAAACATGAGTTCAGATTTAAAGATGCATCAACGTGGCCAAGGCTGAAGTTTAAAAGTAGTTAGTTTGCTCAGCTCTTGCTTAAGCCGCACAGCAAGTCCAGAAGCCTTGGAGGGCATTGGCAAAGCCAGCTGAAGATTAGTTAAATCCTCTTTAGGAAGAGAGTTTTACTTCCACTTACTTTCTCCCACCCAGGAGGACTGACAACCTTTGCATTATCAGACTGACCTTCAGAAGAGCTGTTCTGCACAGAGCAGGAGAAATTCAGGCATTTAAAACTATCATAAGAAAGCTTTCATACATTGGCCAGCAGAAGCTAGCAAGACAGGTTTTGGGGTGGGTGCTATGCAGACAGATAACAATAGCATGAGCAATCCTACAGTCTGCTGCAAACACCCCAAGCTCTTTTTTGAGCCCTAAAGCACTACCTTCCTCTTTAATATGGGTGGAGCTTAGGCAGCTCCAACCACCGCTGCAGACCACGAATGCACCAACCCTACTGCCCTGGCACTGCTGTAATCTGAGCTCAGCCAGGCATTAGCACAAGGGCAGATGGGAGGGCTTGAGGCCAGACATCCCCTGCACCAAAGCTGTGGGAGTGGTGACAAGCCCTGAGCTTCCCAGGGCTTGTCACCACTTCAAGTCTCACTGCAGCCCAGAGCCCCTGCTTGGGCATCACCTTGCGCTGGGCTCACCACCAGCCTGCATACACACGGTCCCTCAGAGTCACTCCAGCACTGCTCACAGGAGCCAACAGCTCACTGCTACTCCAGAAGTCTACGTGCCTTCCCACCTTACATGGGGCAAGGCTGTGGATTCATCCTGGGTTGAAGGATGTTGGCCTTGAGTGATGGGCATGCAGAGCAGGAGTTGTGCTATTCCATGAATCAGACAACCTTTATTAGTAGTGGATGAACAGAGAATTAACACCTGGGAATTAAAACCAGCTCCTACCCCAAAGCCCAGACTCAGCTGGGGATGGTGCTGTGCTGTCAAAGTCCTGGGGCCCCTATGACACCTTCCTGCCAGGAGCTGCCTCCTGTGCTCTGGCCTTTCTCCCCTGGCCGGCACCCAGAGCTGCCTGGGGCTTCCCTGCCTTGGCTTTACCTCCTTTCTTCAAGGCAACTTCCTGGGCCTCTTCAGGAACCTTCCCTTTGCTCTTGGCTGCTGGAGTCTTTTTGGGTCTCTTCACCCCAGCACCAGCAGGGCGGTCAGCACTGTCCTCTTGCACAGCCCTGGCAGCAGAAGCTGCAGGGGGCTGCGGCCGCCCTTTGCCAGGGGCCTGGTGGGCCTTTGCTCCATCACTCCTGGCCTTCCCCACCGCTGGCTGAGCCTGGAGGGGACAGAGTGCTTCAGACTGCTGCCATGCCACATCCCACAGCTTGGGTGCAGTGCTGGCATCCCCTGGCCTTGTCACCCAGCCGTACTCACATCTGCAGACTTTGCCCTTGGCTTCCTCTTCACTGCTTTTGGCTTCTCCTTGGCAGCACCTGCAGAAAGGAGCAGCGGATGAGCACGGGCAGAGCACCTCACGGGGGCCCGCCCCAGGCCACCTGCCATTACCTTGCCCTCCATCGCTCTGCACCACCGCAGGGGCTCGGGCAGCCTCGGCAGCCCCTCTGCGTCCCGTCTTCGGGGCCGGTCCCTCCCCGGGATCCTCCTGGCCCGCCGCCTGTTTCTGCTGCAGCCTCTTAGGAGCGAGCTGGGCGCAGGGAAGGAGCAGAACGTGGGAGCAGCACTGGCAGCGCCCAACCCAGCCCCGCTCTCGCAGCCCCGCTCACCTTGAAGCGCCCCGTGGCCCCCAGGGCGGAGGAGTTGTGGGGCCGCACCAAGAAGCCGCGGCTCAGCCCGGTCGCCAGCGCCCGCTTCAGCAGATACTTGAGGCGCACGGGGTCCACCGCAGGGTACTTGGTCAGGATGAAGCGCTTAATGGCGACGACCGAGACGCCCTTCTTCCCATCCTGCGCCTGCAGCGCCTCGAGCACCATGTGCAGCGTGGGGGGGTGGCGGCTCCGCCGGCCTCGGGCGAGCAGGCTGGAGAGCCGGGCAGCGCCGGCGGCTTTGGCTGCGAGGGATACAGAACGGCAGCGTGAGGCGAAGGCGCTCGCAGCCCCGAGGGCTGCAGTCCTCCAAAGCCAAACAGCGTCACCGCGCCCGTCCCCAGAAAAGGAACCGCGGCGCCCGCACGCTGCGGCCCCGACCTGGTTGGGGCTCCATGGCAGCGCAGCTCCCAGACGCCCACCGGGCACTGCAGCCTCAACCCGGTTCTCAGGCCCACCTCACCTGCAGCTCATTTATCTGATTCGGCACGGTAACGGCCGGTTGGGCAGCTGCTAATCGCCGGGTCCCCACCGCACTGGACACAGGTGGGTCCGAGTGCTCCTTCCAAATCTTTGTGAGAGGCTGAAAGGAGAAGGAACGCTGCGAGCAGACGGTTGGAAAAGGACGGGAGGGGGAGCGGCGGCCCCAGGCACGCGCTGTGAACTCCCCTAAGCGCACGGTGGGCCGCGTGGGGCTCCTGCAGCAGCCACAGGTGTTCGCTCGCACCTCGCTGCTGCCGTGCTCAGAGGACGGCGCTCCCGGCCCCGCGTGCGGGCAGCCCTACGTGCCCCAGTGCAGGGCCAGCGCCGCGGCAGTGCTGCCACAGGGCTCAGCGCGGGTGGCGGAGCCGCATCACCGAGCAGCCGCTGAGCACCGCGTGGCTCTGCGGAGCGCGGCCTCGACGGGCAGCGACAAACACCCGAGCGTCCTCGTCTTCCCTCCAAAAGCAGCCCTCGGATTTGCAGTACATGAATCAGACATCAGCCTAAACACTGAATTATTCATAAACCGTTAATCTTCAGATTTCACTGAATATGCAGAAGTATCGATAAAAAAAAAAAAATAATGAGAGAATTGTACTTGCAAATTGCTCTTTATTAAAGATTTAACTTGCATGGGTTCTGTATGTTCCTTATTAGACCTCGCAAAGCTGCATAGGATTAGAAATCAGAGAGGATAATAATGTACAAAAATAGTTTCAAATGTTGATAACGCTGAACAGCAAGAAAAACATCTTATTTGTATAACTGAGCTAAAAATAAAAATGAAGAACACTGCTACAATTGCAATATGCCATCTTGTAGTGCCTGGAACATATGCCGGTGTCTCTGCACCATATGCTCCCATGTCTTGCCTGCTCTAACACGGAGGAAGCTCAGCAATGCACCAATCCGTCCTCAAAAGCACGAGCACCGGCCAAAGCCTCCTACGTGGGCTGACGCTGAGCTGGGCTGCAGCTGACAGGGAGGGTCTGTGGATGGCTGGGAGGGAAGGGCTGCGTCCTGCTGGGGGGCAGTGAGTGGGGCTGCCAAGGGGCCAACGCCAGGAGCACCCAAGCACGCCCAGCCATAGCGGGGCACAGCTGCACCACGCTGTGCCACCTGCTCAGGTGGGATCTGCACCACCACCTCTGCCGCACGGAGGGCACCAAAACCCACCCGTCATCCCAGAGCTGTGGCAGTGCTCATCTGAGGTGCTGGGCAGGGCCAGACACGGGGCTCTGAGCAGTGGGCATCTGTCGGTGCTCCGCCTGCCCCAGCACAGCCCCCTGCCGGGGCCCAGCGGCTGCTGGTGGCTGCCAGGCTCTGTCTGCGGCAGTGGAGCCGGGAGGGGCTCAGCCTCTGCCCCCCGAGGCCCTGAGTTTGGGGTGAGGGAGGTGGCAGTGGCTCCGCTGTGCCCGGGCTTTGCAGAGCCTGCGTGGTGCAACAGGTGTGAGCTCTCAGTGAATCAACAGAGAGAGAAACACGGAGTTATGCCAGTGGAGGAGCTAAGCTTTTGCATTTTAATTACAAAACGTGTACATTTTCACAGCCTTGTTCCCAGGGTTGCTATGGTTGGGAGAGCGGCCCGCCCTGCAGGGCTGTGCTGAAGCGGGCAGGCGCTGGCAGTGCGCAAGGTTGGTGCGGTGGGACCTATGCAGGGGACACCTGGCTGGTGGAGACGGAGGAGGTCTCTGTCTTTCCAGCAGATGTGTCCTCATCGCCCAGCGGGTTCTTGCCGCAGCAGAGGGTTGTGATCATGCAGTTACGGAACTGGAAGAGAGGGGAAGCAGCGTGGTGAGGGTGGAGGGCTGCTGAGCGGCTGCCTTCATACGGGGCCCAGAGTTGGGGGTGGTGAGAAGTGAGCCTGGCGATGCCATGGGCACTGTCCAGCAGAAGAACCGCCACAGCAGGAGCAAATGCAGGTACAGATCCCATGTGCTGCAGTGGGAACTGCATGGGACCCTCCAGCATGTCTGCACCAGGGGCACTGTGCTGGTGAAGTCTCCCTCCCAGCGCTCAGAGTTGGGGGAGGCAGCCCCAGCCGCTCTGCTGGGCCAGCGTGCACATTTCTCAGGTGGATGCTTGCTGCAATGAGAGCTGCACAGTGTGAAGGAGTGAGCTGCACTTCACTCTCCTGCACACCAGCACTCAGTACCTGGAATCCCCTTGCGGCTCGCGGTGTGCTGGAGGTGTGGGAGCTCCCCGCTGTTACAAAGAGAAACACTACAGAGGCAATCAGCTGGCAGTTACCTGTTTGTTCATTACAATGTAGATCACAGGATTGTAGATGGCAGAGCTCTTGGCAAAGAATGCCGGGATGGTCATGAAGATGGGTCCGAAGTCTGAGCCCTGGTTGGTGAAGATGTAGAAAGCGACGCTGGCGTAGGGAACCCAGCAGATGAGGAAGGCGATGACCATGATGATCACCATGCGGGTCACTTCCTTCTCTGCCTTCTGGGTGGTGGCAGACTCCTGCTGCTGGGCGGCAGCCTGCGGGCAGAGAGTGGGGGGGGTGGAATCGGGAGGGCTTGGTCTGTGTGGGTGCAGGGCCGGGGGTACCGCTCCCTTCTGTCACCGTATGGAGCCTGGCACAGCCCCCACCCCCTGGGCAGCACCCACCTCCTTCACAGTGCAGACCAGGTTCCCATAGCAGAAGAAGATGACGGTCAGTGGGATCATGAAATGGACCACGAACATGTAGATGACAAAGGATTCATTGTTGATCTCCGGCTTCAGCGTGTAGTAGTCGATCCCACACGAGCACTGCATGCCCTCGGGGATGTACCTGTGAGCACACGGGGCGGTCAGCGCCAGCAGAGCTGCCCACACCCCGCGCTCCGTGCCCAGGCTCCTCCCTACCGTGACCAGCCGAACAGCGGGGGGGCTGCGCAGGCCATGGCCATGATCCAGGAGAACGCGACCCCCATGATGGCGTGGTTCTCTCCGAAGCGGAAGTTGCTCATGGGCTTACAGACCACCACGTATCGTTCCACGGCCAGGACGACAAGTGACCAGAGAGCGATTTCACCTGCACCGGGGAGAGAGGGATGGAGAAACGGGGACCTCAAATGATGGGAGGACAAAGGCACGCCATTCCCGGCACGGGGAAGACCCCATCAGCAGTGAACCTCCAACCAGCGCTCAGAGACGGAACGGAACGGAGGACAAATACCAGTGCGGTGAGGAGGAGCCAGAAGATGCCTGCAGACTCCCAGCAGTAACCGCTGTGCTGCTGTGCCTTGGGATCCACTGCTGGATCCCGCCCTCCTCCCGCACAGCACTGCATCCACATGCCCACGGCCCCACTCTGACCTGCAGCACTGCCTCCAGGTTCTGCTCAGGTCATCTGTGCCTGGGGGCCCGACCCCGCCGACAGCTGCCTGCAGTCTGGCTGGGAGCTGAGCTGGCCAGGGGGGCCGTTCTCAGACACAGCCCTAATTTAACACTGCTAATCAGCGGCTGGATGGCACAGTGGAGGCAGCTTTGCTGGGCTGCGCCGCGCTGCACACCGCCCCACAGCAGTGACGCTCAGCCCCACTGCTCCAGAAAAAACTGTCAGCTCTCCTGTCAAAAAGCAAGCCAAAAGGATGTGCAAATCCAGCAGCTGCACAGTCTGCTGTAGGTTACTTTTCATGGCTATGCTGTTGCTCGCAGGAGACGGAACAGGTGGCTACCAAAATAAGGCTTGAAAAAAAAGCACCATTTGCCACTTTCTTCACCTCCCACCCAGTAGCACTGCAGATGCTGCAGCAGCAGCAGGGCTGGCGCGCACAGCCCGGCTCCCCAGAGCAGCTGGGCATTCTCACGCCCTCTCCTGAAACCTGGGGAAATTTCTGCCAGATTTTTGAAAATTTGGAGAACTCACCGCCCAGCGTAGCAAAGAAGCCCTCGATGTAACACCCTGTTACTCCAAAGACAAAGTACCCGTTCATCGAGGTGTACATGGTGGTCGTGAAGCCTCCAAAGACCATGAAGAGGTCGGCGACCGCCAGGTTCAGGAGGATGTAGTTTAGAGGCGTTCGGAGTTTCTTGTGCTGGATGGTGACGTACAGCGTGAGGAAGTTGACGGGGAAGCCGAGCAGGATCAGCATGAACATGTAGGCAGCCAGCGCCGAGAACTTCCAGGGCTCAGCCAGGTAGTACTGGGGGTACTCGAAGGGGCTCCGCACCACCCCGGTCTTGTTGGACATGGGCACGTAGAAGTCTTGGCCTTCCGTGCCGTTCATGGCTGCGGTTTGTGGGGCGCCTCTCAGTCGCTCTCAGTGTCGGGTTTGGTGTGTGGGGGAATCGCCCCTGCAGTTGGGCTCCCACCAGCGCCCAGCCTTCGCTGTCGCCCCGCAGAGAAGCGGCCGTAGGGCGTCCCTTATAAAGTGCCCCCTGTGGTAAGCTGCAGGCATCGGTGTCAGCGCGATTAGGGCTAAGAGAGTTATTAATCATAATCATCCAGGGGTAATTGGCTTTTCTGGGCAGGTCTTAAGGTGACACCTGTTTCTGGCCCACACTGTCATTGCTGGAGACCGTGGTTCATGGTCATACACAGACAAGTAGCTCTGCACTGCTTGTGCACTGGAACTGGAGCGCAGCCCCCCCTGCACACCTCACTCCCCAGCATGCTGTGCCGCTGCCTGAGGGCTGAGCGCCTGCTGCCTGGGCCCAGCGCACTCATTGCATGCTGCAGTCTGGGCTGGACGCCCGCAGCCTGTGCTGCCTCTGCCCCACGGAGTGCCCGACAGCCCATCGCAGGCTGCAGTGCCCATCAGTTCCAAATGCCTCAGTTTACCCACAGGGATGTGGGAAACGGGACACGATACCACTGGGCCCACAGGTGAGAGTGCCAGAGAAGGACAGAGCACACAGGATCCTTCCTGTGGTTGCACTTGACCAAAGCAAACAGGAGTGAATTTTGTGGTTCAGAACCCCCAGGCCATGGGTTTGGGCACTGCAGCGATGGCTGGGCTGGATGTGCTCGATGCAGTCCCTCCATAGCAGGGTCTGCTCTTACAGCAGGACTGCAGGGCTGTGACAGCAGCCTGTCTCGTCACAGCTGCCATTACAGGGGTAGGCTGATGAAAGGCTGTGTTTGGCAGCAGCCCTTCTTGTATGCAAAATTTGTCTGAGAAGGTTTGAACAACACAGTGAAGCACTGATCCTGCTAGCAGGTTTCCAGTTGCATCACCTCCTCTCTTCTTGGCTTTATACATGGTTTGCATCACAGCAGCTACATCAGCAGCACCCACAAAATAACCTTGTCCATCTGTCTTGGACAGATATCATTCTGCCTTGATCCAGAGAAGGGTTGTGGACAAGGCACAAGTTCTGAGCTGAAGCCAACATTCGACCTCTTATTCTGGTGACAGACATCTTCAGTCCCCTTGAAACCTTGCAGAAGTGATGAATTCCATGTAGGTGGGCAGTAGAGCTGCAGGAGAAGCTGTCGTTGGATCTGTTTTCCTACTTGATGTGCCCAGTGTTGCTTGGAACATTCTTCATGCCAGCCAGCAGCTGTTAGGTGTT